GTGGGAAGAGATTATATGTTCCTTAATGGAGCCCTGTTGCTTATGCATCGTTAATCGCCTGGAAAGAGATGTTGTTGTCTTGCCTATATACTGAGTTCTTTGAGGCTTACAGTCCCCAAGTGGGCATTTGAAGGCATAGACGACATTGGTCTCTTTCAAAGCGTTCTGCTTTGTGTCTGGAGAGTTTCTCATGAGTAGGTTGGCAGTTTTCTTGGTTTTATAGTAAATCGTCAATTGTATCTTCTGATTTTTGTCTGTAGGGATAACGTTTCTATTAACAATATCTTTCAAGACCCTTTCCTCCATTTTATGAGCTGTGGAAAAGAAGTTCCTGTAAAATAGTCTAATAGGGGGTACAGGTGTTCTGTTAGTTGTCTCTTCAGAGGTTGAATAGTCTAATAGGGGTTACAGGTGTTGTGTTAGTTGTCTCTTCAGAGGTTGCATGGCGTTTCACCTGCCTTCTTATGATGTCTTCAACGAAACCATTGAAGAAGCCATTGTTGACTAGGACCTGCCTGACCCTACAGAGTTCTTCATCGACTTGCTTCCATCCTGAGCTGTGGCTGAGAGCACGGTCGACATAAGCGTTAACAACACTCCTCTTGTACCTGTCTGGGCAGTCACTGTTGGCATTGAGGCACATTCCTATGTTTGTTTCCTTAGTGTAGACTGCAGTGTGGAAACCTCCGCTCATTTCCATGACTCGTGTTCTATCTTGTGTTGAAAGTTTGTTTTCACCTCATCCAAAACTGTTGTAACATATCACCTCACCCAAATGCAGGCATATAAAACGAAAAGCCGTTTGAATTATAGCAAAGTAAGAAATCTGTTATAGTGTTTGCAGGTTATAGTTGTGTGTGTGTAAACTAAAGTCTTTGAAAATGTAAAAAGTTTTTACGAAACGCGTTCAAGTGTCGTGTCAGACTAGAAATAAAAAGGAATTTTGGAGAACTGATTTTTCAATTACCATCGACAGTGAAAAGAACCATAAGAAATATTGAGAAAATTCGTGTTAGAATTATTAATCTTACTTTTTCGGTCATATTTAATAATATACGTCTACAGGAAAGACTGCTACCAATATATATATATATATATATATATATATATATATATATATATATATATATATATATATATATATATATATATATATATATATATCTATATATATATATATATATATATATATATATATATATGTATATATATATGTATATATATATATATATATATATATATATATAATATATATATATATATATACATATATATATATATATATATATATATATATATATATATATATATATATATATATATATATATATATATATATATATATATATATATATAAATACATATATATATATATATATATATATATATATATATATATATATATATATATATATATATATATATATATATATATATATATATATATATATATATTTTATATACAATATAATACAATACAATTTTATTTAGGTAAGGTACATACATACAATAAATATTTACAAGGATTGTTTGACTTATAGGTAGAGCTAGTACATACAATGCCTAAAGCCACTATTACGCAAAGCGTTTCGGGCATATAGGTATATATAAAAACATGCGCGTATTTGAATGGAACGTTGTGTCAAAATTTCTAAACAATCGATTAACAACTTTCGGAGATTACAGGGTGTGTTCCTCTTCACTACGTCTAACAGATGGCTTTTATTTTTTTTAAAGCATGTTTTTTTACTGTCATAGGTGAGGCATGTATATAATAGAAATATAAAAACATGCGCCTATTCGAATGCAACGTTGCGTAAAAATTTCAAAGCAATCGGTAAAGAGGTTTCGAAGATTTCACTCACGTGAAAAACACACACGAAAAACAGTTTTTCAAAAAAGCATGTTTTTTTCTGTCACAGACGTGACATCTGTATAGTATGTATATAAAAACTCGCTCGAATGCGAACGTAACGTTTTGTGAAGATTTCAAAGCAATTTTCCGAGGAACTTTCGGAGATAAGCGGTTTTGAACAAACGAACATTTACCTTTTTATTTATATAGATTAGGAATCAAATATCAATTCCTTAGTCCCTTAAAGTATTGGGTCAAAAGGGCTCAAACAGAAACATATGGAATGGATTTTGAAAATCACCATGAAAAATTAGGGAATGATCTGAGTCTCTGGTTTGATTCTGACATTAATAACATAATAGGTGCAGGGGTAATTTACAGCATGCTGATATTGAACTGGAGGTAAAAAATCTAATGTTTTCCCCCCCAGTCACCACATAGTAAGGTAGCTAATTTTCTTACATAAACACAAAAATGGCACTTTACATGGTGGGGTACTAGATACCCTCAACAACCTAAGACAACAGTTCTGGCTTCCTCAAGATCGCCAGGCTGTAAAGCCTATAATCAAATCCATTGTAATCTGCCAGAGGTTTACATCTGCCAGACACACTCAGGAGTGACCTTATCCAGGACCTCCGCTTCTCCTTACGGAACGAGTTGTCAACGTTTTGAGACCACTGGTGTAGACTACTCAGGAGCTCTAACACTAACAGGCACCAAGGACAAAGTTCCAGTGAATGTGTACATCTGCATATTCACCTATGCTACAACATGGATAGTACATCTAGAAGTGACTCCCGGCATGAGTGTTGAGGCATTCATACAGGCTTTCCGCAGGTTTGCTGCTCATTGATCCTGCCCCAAGTTCTTGATTTCAGATAAAGGGTCCAACTTGGTGGCAGGGGAAGCATGATTGAGGAAAATCTGGAACCACCCATCAGTACACACTGCTCTGAATCAAGAGCAGTGCCACTAGAAGTTTATACCCCCAGAGCACCGTGACATGGAGGTTTCTATGAGCGAATGGGTGGAACCGTCAAAAGTTGTCACAAGGAAAGCCCTACACCCCCAAAAAATACACAGCTGTGGAGAAGGCGGCACGCTACACAGCTGTTGAATGAGTACTCAACTGGTGGAGAAGTCTGTGCGATACACATCTGGTGGTGAAGTCTGTACACTGCACAGCTTGAGGTGACGTCTGCACACTACACAGATGGCGGTAAAGTGTGCATGCTACACAGCTAGTGGTGGAGTTTGCACGCTACACAGCAGGTGGTGAAGAATGAACACTACACAGATGGTGGTGAATATTGCTCACTACTCAGCTCACTACACAATATTAAAGTTTTCCTGCTACACAGCTAGTGGTGAAGCCTGCAAACTACATAGCTGGTGGTGAAATTTGCACACTTCACAGTTGGTGGTGAAGTATGCACACAACACAAATGGTGGTGACGTTAGCACGCTAACCAGCTCGTGGTGAAATCTGTACGCTACACTGCTGGTAGAGAAGTCCACAAGCTACTCAGCTGTGTTGAAGTCTGCTTGCTACACAGCTGGTGGAGAAGTTCAAACGCTACACAGCTGGTGGAGAAGTTCGCATGCTACACAGCTGGTGGAGAAATTCGCACGCTACACAGCTGTGGAGAAGTGTGTACGCTTCACACCTGGTGTTGAAGTCTGCAGACTTCACTGCACGCTACACAGCTGATGAATAGGTCTGCTCATTACACATCTGGTGGTGAAGTTTGAACGCTACACTGCTGGTGGTGAAGTCTGCACAGAACACAACTGGTGGTGAAGCATGCAAGGTACACAGCTCGTGGTGAAGTATGCATACTACACAGCTGGTGATGAAATTTTCATGCTACACAGCTGGTGATGAAACATGTACACTACACAACTGGTGGTGAATTCTGCACAATACAGAGCTGATGGTGAAGTTTGTTCGCTACAAAACTTGTTATGAAGTTTGAATGATACACAGGTGGTGGTGAAGTGTGCACACTACACAGCTGGTTGTGAAGTATAAACACTGCACAAATGGTGGCGAAGTTAGTACACTACACAGCTGGAGGTGAAATCTGCACGCTAAACAGCAGGTGGAAAAGCCTGCACGCTGCTCAGCTGGTGTAGAATTCTGCTCGCGACTCAGCTAGTGGTGAAGTCTTCGCACTATACAGCTGGTGGTGACGTTTGCACGCTGCTCAGGTGGTGGAGAAGCCTTCTCGCTACACAGCTGGTGGTGAAGTTTGCACGCTTCGCAGCTGGTGGTGAAGACTACTCGCTACATAGCTGTTGGTGAAGTTTCATGCTTCACATCTGGTGATGAAGTTTGCACGATTCACAGCTGGTGGTGAAGTCAACACGCTACACAGCTGGTGGAGAAGTCAACACGCTACACAGCTGGTGGAGAAGGCTGCACGCTACACAGCTGGTGGATAAGTCGGCACAATACACAACTTGTGGCACAGTCTGCACGCTACAAAGCTGGAAGAGAAGTCTGCACTCTATACAGCTGGTGGTGAAGTATGCACACTATACAGCTGGTGGAGACGCATGCACGCTACACAGTTGTGGTGATGTCTGCAGGCTTCACAGCTGGTGGAAATGTCTGCAGGTTTCACAGATGATGGAAATGTCTGCAGGCTTCACAGCTGGTGGAAAGGCCTGCAAGTTATACAGCTGATGGAAATGTCTGCAGGCTACACAGCTGGTGGAAATGTCTGCAGGCTACACAGCTGGTGGAAATGTCTGCAGGCTACACAGCTGGTGGAAATGTCTGCAGGCTACACAGCTGGTGGAAATGTCTGCATGGTACACTGGGAAACTTGGATTCTTGCTAAGCCTTGAGCAGGTGATCTCTCTTCAAGCAGAAAAGATAGTTGGCTGAAGTTTTGGAGTCGGCGAATTACCTTCCAGTGATATATTGCCAGCCTGGCCATACCTGTGTGGTGGTACTACTATCATGCCCGGCCGCTGTGCTCGGTTACTCCTGCCGCTGTGCTCGGTTACTCCTGCCGCTGTGCTCGGTTACTCCTGCCGCTGTGCTCGGTTACTCGTGCTACCTGCCGCTGTGCTCGGTTACTCGTGCTCCCTGCCGCTGTGCTCGGTTATTCGTGCTACCTGCCGCTGTGCTCGGTTACTCGTGCTCCCTGCCGCTGTGCTCGGTTACTCGTGCTCCCTGCTGCTGTGTTCTGGCACTCGTGCTCTCTGCTACTGTGTTCTGGCACTCGTGCTCCCTGCTGCTGTGTTCTGGCACTCGTGCTCCCTGCTGCTGTGTGCTGGCACTCGTGCTCCCTGCTGCTGTGTGCTGGCACTCGTGCTCCCTGCTGCTGTGTGCTGGCACTCGTGCTCCCTGCTGCTGTGTGCTGGCACTCGTGTTCCCTGCTGCTGTGTGCTGGCACTTGTGCTCCCTGCTGCTGTGTGCTGGCACTCGTGCTCCCTGCTGCTGTGTGCTGGCACTCGTGCTCCCTGCTGCTGTGTTCTGGCACTCGTGCTCCCTGCTGCTGTGTGCTGGCACTCGTGTTCCCGCTGCTGGTGTGCTCGTGCTCCCTGCTGCTGTGTGCTGGCACTCGTGCTCCCTGCTGCTGTGTGCTGGCACTTGTGCTCCCTGCTGCTGTGTGCTGGCACTTGTGTTCCCTGCTGCTGTGTGCTGGCACTTGTGCTCCCTGCTGCTGTGTGCTGGCACTTGTGCTCCCTGCTGCTGTGTGCTGGCACTTGTGCTCCCTGCTGCTGTGTGCTGGCACTTGTGCTCCCTGCTGCTGTGTGCTGGCACTTGTGCTCCCTGCTGCTGTGTGCTGGCACTCGTGTTCCCTGCTGCTGTGTGCTGGCACTCGTGCTCCCTGCTGCTGTGTGCTGGCACTCGTGCTCCCTGCTGCTGTGTGCTGGCACTCGTGTTCCCTGCTGCTGTGTGCTGGCACTTGTGTTCCCTGCTGCTGTGTGCTGGCACTCGTGCTCCCTGCTGCTGTGTGCTGGCACTTGTGCTCCCTGCTGGTTTACTCACCATGTTGTGATTGCTGGGTTAAGTTTCGGCTCTTTGGTCCCGCCCTTCAACCGTCAATCTGCTGGTGTACAGATTCCTGAGCTTCTCAAGTGCTATTATATCTACAATTGAAACTGTGTATGAAGTCAGCCTCCAACACTTCACTTTCTAGTGCATTCCATTTACTAACTATTTTGACACTGAAAAAGTTCTTGCTAATGTCTCTGTGGCTCATTTGGGTATTCACCTTCCATCTGTGTCCCCTTGTGCGTGTACCACCCCGTGTTAAATAATCCATACTTGTCTACCCTCTATATTCCCCAGAGAAATTTGTATGTGGTTCTCATGTCTTCCCGAGCTCTTCTGTCTTCCAAAGATGTGATGTGCATTTCATGTTGCCATTCCTCGTAATTCATGCCTCTTAGTTCTAGGACTAGCTTAGTGGCATATCTCTAAACTTTTTCCAGCTTAATCCTGTGCTTGACAAGGTACGGGCTCCATGCTGGGGCCGGATACTCCAGGATTGGTTTTACATATGTGGTTTACAAGGTTCTGAATGATTCCTTACACAGGTTCCTGAGGGCAGTTCAGATGTTAGCCAGCCTCGCATACGTCGCAGATGTTATTTTTGTTATGTGGGCTTCAGGAGACAGGTTTGGCGTGATATCAACTTATAAGATCTATCTCTCTGTCCGTTTCATGAAGGACTTCATCTGCCATTTGTTATCCTGCGTTTGGCCACTTGTTTTCACCAACTAGTTTTATTACCTTACATTTACACGGGTTGAACTTTAGTAGCCATTTCTTGGACCGTTCATTTAGTTACTCTCGCTCATCTTGTAGCCTCCTCCTATCTTCCTCTATCTTAATCATCCTCATAGTTTTTGCATCATCAGCAAACAATGAGAGGAACGAGGCTATTCGCTCTGGGAGATCATTTACATATATCAGAAACAGTATAGGTCCAAGTACCGAACCCAGTGAGACTCCACTGTTAACACCTCGTCAATCAGAGACCTCGCCCCTCACAGTAACTCACTGCCTTCTGATATTTAGGGAAGTACTCCCTTAAGGGAAGTACTCCCTTATCCAACTCCATTGGATATGGGAGTACTTCCCTTTCACTCCTGCTTTCATCTCCAGCTTGTGCACTAGTCTCTTGTGTGGGTACTGTGTCAAAGGCTTTCTGGCAATCCGAAAATACGCAGTCTGCCCACCCTCTCTTTCTTGCCTGATTTTTGTTGCCTAGTTGTAGAATTCACTTGATCCTGTGAGGCATGACATTCCATCCCTGAACCCATACTGATGTTGTGCTACAAAGTTCTTTTGGTCCAGATATTCCACTATCTTTTTTCGCACAATCTTCTCAATCAACTTGCATGGTATGCAAGTTAGGGACACTGCCCAGTAGATCAGTGCCTCCTACCTATCTCCTTTCTTGTATATCGGGACTGCATTAGCCGTCTTCCAAATATTTGGCAGTTTAACTTTTAACAATGATTTCTTATACACTATGGACAGTGGCAGACACAGTACTTCTGCTCCTTCCTTTAGTATCACATGGTGAGATTCCATCCAGGCCTATAGTCTTTATCTCATCCAACTCCAGCATAATTTTCCTTACCTCCTCACTGGTAATCCCAAACTCCTCTAATGGTGCCTGGTTATCAATTCTCCTCTTATTTCTGGAAATTCTCCTTGCTCTAATGTGAAGATCTCCTAGATTTTTTTATTCAGTTTCTCGCACACTTCCTTGTCGTTTGTAGTGAACCTGTCTGCCCCCATCCTCAGTTTCATTACCTGTTCCTTCATTGTTGTTTTTCTCCTTATGTGACTGTGCAGGAATTTAGGTTGAGTCTTAGTCTTGCTTGCTATATCATTTTCGTATTGCCCTTCTGCCTCTCTTCTCACCCAAACGTATTCATTCCTGGCACTTTGCTATCTTTCTTTGTTCTCAAGTATACTGTTATTTCTACAGTTTCTCCACGTCCTTGTACTTTGTTGTTTTGCAAGATTACATCTCTGAATATACCATGGATTTCTAAACTGCATTTCGTTCTTTTCCTTTTGGACTGGGACAAACTTGTCTGCTGCCTCCTTACACTTCTGCATCCATCATGTCATGGGCCGTCTTTCCTCCGAGCTCTGTTTCCCAAGTTATATATGTTAGGAATTTTCTTATCTCCTCATAGTTTCCCTTTCAGAATGCCACTCTTATGTTTTCAGGTCCCCTTCCTTGAGTACATTAACCCTACTTCGACCAGATACTCAAACGTCAGTACACTGTGATCGCTTATTCCTACTGGGGCTTCGTTACCGATTTTCCTTATGTCGGAGTCGTTCAGAGTGAAACCTAGATGGAGTCTTGCTGGTTCATCGTTGCCTCTCATTCTTCTGGGTCCCCTGACATGCTGGCTTTGACAGTTTTTTGTCGCCACCTGATCCTTTTGTGATTGAAGTCTCCCATGGAGTGTGAGTGTGTATGAGTGTGTGTGTATGTGTACTCACATATTTGGACTCACCTATTTGTGCATGTGGGGGTTGAACTTTGGCTCTTTGGTCCCGCCTCTCAACCGTCAATCAGCTGGTGTAAAGATTCATAAACCTACTGGGCTCTATCATATCTACATTTAAAACTGTGTATGGAGTCAGCCTCCACCACGTCACTGCCTAATGCGTTCCACCTGTTAACTACTATGACACTGAAAAACATCTTTCTAACGTTCCTGTGGCTAAATGAACAAATCCACAAGGGCCGTGACGAGGATTCAAACCTGCGTTCGAGAGCATCCCAGACGCTGCCTTAATCGACTGAGCTACGACATGGTCAAAAGGAGTTGAAACCTTTGACCATGTCGTAGCTCAGTTGATTAAGATAGCGTCTGGGATGCTCTCGGACGCAGGTTTGAATCTTTGTCACGGCCCTTGTGGATTTGTTCATTTGATGCATCACGCAATTGTGATTTCTGTGTTCCTGTGGCTCATTTGGGTACTCAGTTTCCACCTGTGTTACCATGTTCGAGTATCACCAGTGTTAAATAGTTCATCCTTGTCTACCCCTGTTAATTCCTTTGACGATTTTGTAGGTAGTGATCATTTCTCCCCTTACTCTTCTGTCTTCCAGAGTCGTAAGGTGCATTTCCCGCCGTCATGACTTTCCTCGTAAGAGGCATGACTTTCCTCGTAAGTCATGCCTCTTAGTTCGGGGACTAGTCTAGTGGCATACCTCTGAACTTTATCCATCTTCGTCTTGTGCTTGACAAGGTACGGGCTCCATGCTGGGGCTGCATACTCCAGGATTGGTCTTACATATATGGTATACAAGATTCTGAATGATTCCTTACACAGGTTCCTGAAGGCTGTTCTGATGTTAGCCAGCCTCGAATATTGCGCAGATATAATTCTTTTTATGTGAGCTTCAGGAGACAGATTGGGTGTGATATCAACTCCTAGATCTTTCTCTCTGTCCGTTTCATGAAATACTTCATCTCTTATTCTGTATCCTGTGTCTGGCCTCCTGTTTCCACCGCCTAGTTTCATTACTTTGCATTTACTCGGGTTGAATTATAGCAGCCATTTGTTGGACCATTCATTCAGTCTGTCTAGGTCATCTTGTAGCCTCCTACTATCATCCTCTGTTTTAATCCTCCTCATAATTTTTGCATCATCAGCAAACAGTGAGAGAAACGAGTCTATACCCTCTGGGGTATATGTAACTTGTATATCAGTTACATATATCAGAAACAGTATAGTTCCAAGGACTGACTCATGCGGGGCTCTACTTTTGACGTCTCGCCAATCTGAGACCTCACCCCTCACAGAGACTTGGTGTCTTTTGTTGCTTAGGTCTTCCCTTATCCAATGGAGTACCTTCCCTTGCACTCCTGCCTGCATCTCCAGCTTTTTCACTTGCCTCTTGTATGGTACTGTGTCAAAAGCTTTCTGGCAATCCAAAAATATGCAGTCTGCCCATCCCTCTCTTTCTTGCCTGGTCACAGAATTCGATTAATCCAGTGAGGCAGAACTGGCCATCCCTGAACCAATGTTGATGCTATGTTACAAAGTTCTTTCGCTCGAGATGTTCCACGAGCTTCTTTCGCACAATCTTCTCCATCATCTTGCATGGTATGCAAGTAAGGAACACTGGTCTGTAGTTCACTGCTTCCTGTCTATCCCCCTTTCTTGTATATCGGGACTACATTTGCAGTCTTCCAAATTTTTGGCAATTCCCTTGTTACCAGTGATTTGCTATTTATTATGGAAAGTGGCAGGCACAGTGCTCTTCCCTTTAGTTTCTATGGGGAGATTCCATCCGGGCCTATTGCCTTTGTTACATCCAACTCTAGCAAGAGCTTCCTTACATCCCCACTGGCAATGTCAAACTCTTCTAGTAAATCCTGGTTAACTATTCCCTCTCTTATCTCTGGAACTTCCCCTTGCTCTAATGTAAAGACCTCCTGGAAATTTTTATTCAGTTCCTCGCACACTTTCTTGTCGTTTGTAGTGAATCTGCCTGCCCCTATCCTCAATTTCATTATCTGTTCCTTTACTGTTGTTTTTCTTCTGATGAGGTTATGCAGCAATTTAGGTCGAGTCTTTGCCTTACTTGCTATGTCTTGTTCGAATTGCCCTTCTGCCTCTCTCCTCAACCTGACATATTCATTCCTGGCACTCTGGTATCTTTCTTTGATCTCGAGTGTCCTGTTATTTATATAGTTTCTCCATGCCCTTTTACCTTGCTGCTTAGCTATATCTTGAGGTTATCTTGAGATGATTTCGGGTCTTTAGTGTTCCCGCGGCCCGATCCTCGACCACGCCTCCACCCCCAGGAAGCAGCCCGTGACAGCTGACTAACACCCAGGTACCTATTTTACTGCTAGGTAACAGGGGCATAGGGTGAAAGAAACTCTGCCCATTGTTTCTCGCTGGCGCCCGGGATCAAACCCGGGACCACAGGATCACAAGTCCAGAGTGCTGTCCGCTCGGCCGACCGGCTCCCTCAACACTAGCTAGCCTACATAACT